TTACGTTCGTACGTACCGTACGTACGTACGTCTACGTACTACTTACGTTACGTTTCGTTACGTACGTACTAACGTACGTAACTAACTACTACTACTACTCTCTCTCTCTCTCTCTCTCTCTCTCTCTCTCTCTCTCTCTCTCTCTCTCTCTCTCTCTCTCTCTCTCGCCAAGGATCCACAAATACCAATTGTCTGAATCTTACTTTTAATTTGTTCTTTAGTCTTTCCTCCTCATCAAGATCAAAGTAAGGGCTCTTTCCATTAGAAGCACGGTAGCAAGCAAGCTCATTACTCACGCGTGAAAGAAGGCCTTCGGTGTGCCTGAGTTTATCAGCAATCTCCTCATTTTGGACCTTCAAATTATCGTTTTCTTCCTGTAGAATGCATAATGAGAAAAGTCCAGAGGAGTGAACATTGCTCTTCTGGTTAACATAAACATGTTTACTGGCCACTACACATGGAGATACACGATAATAACAACAACAACAATAATAATGGAAAGCTAAAATATAAATATTCCAAAACATACAAATCAGAACGGAAAATTGGGTATTAAGTGTCCAAGACCATACAGAAGAAGATAATAAGGGTTTTACATGTAAAATTCCAATCCATTTTTATCATATTCCCAAAGAACTTGTAGAAAATGTCCAAATACAGTTACCCAAAAAACAAGAATGAAGAACATCTCAAATTGGTGGACTACAGTTCTTCATAAGAGAAGCAAATTATATGAAAAAAAAAAGAAAAATGAAACAGAAACCACCCAAGGGATGCTTGCCTTGATTTTTGCATGATGATGAATGCGTTGCTGAAGGTTCTGCTGTCCTAATAGCTTTTTTACCTCTAGCTCCAGTGCCATAACCTTCTTCTTATGATTTGTGTTATCCACCTACACATTTAAAGTGGCATTTGGAAATACACAATAAAAACATGGGAAAGTGTATCATAAGCCAACCATGGATGGAATTCCAATGAAATGATGGATGGAGAGTGAGACTCAAAGAACAAGACATGATCGTAAAGTTAGGTCATATTCTCTCTCCATCAGCATCAATCAATTTGACGGATCGTGATGAGCCTAACTCACAATAGTTTTGCACAATACATTTAGTTATCTGGTATATTTTTCCTTAAAAACAATCTAAGTTCTACAGATATAAAATTCTTTTTGTTTTGGTAGTTGGACTAAACACTAAAAGTACTCGCCGTGCATATCTGTTACCTTCAGCAATTCATTTTCTGTAGTAAGGTACTGCTCATGCTGCCGAAGCTTCTCCAATGTAATCCGAGCAGCCACCATTTCAGAGTGTTTCCTGTTTACCTCATCTAGCCAGCTGGAAACCCATGTGGTAAAACAAAAGTAGATCAGGATCTAAAACATTCTAAAAGAAGTGCAATTCAGTCCAATACTATAGAATACCATAGTCCCACAGGGACTACACCGTGCATCAGAATAATGGTCAAGGATGAAAAGAGAGTCGGACCCAATAGAGCAGACATGGCCACAGTCGTGGGCCTCTCTCTCTTCATCCGCCCATCAATTCATCAGACAGTCATGACCTTAATGGAATATGGTTTACCATGCTACATTAGACAACATAATATATAGAAATGAATGCCAAAAGCTTAAAAGTAGGTGAAGAAGAAAGAAAATCTTAAAAGGACAAGCTCACCCTGCCCTCTCTTCAATGAACTCATTCAGCTGCTTCCTTAACTTCAAGACTTCCGCCCCCTGCACAGTAAACATGTTTCTATAAAACTGCGCACTAACATATCAAAGCCAACATATGCCTGAACAGAATTGATCTTCGACCTTTTCCTGAGACTCGTCACTTTGACATCGAACTTCCTCTGAAATCTCAAGTACATGTTGATGATCCAAAAATGACTAAATTCATCAAATAAATAAACAAAATTAGGATAAGTAACATACATAAGTAATCAACGTAACAATTAAAAAATAAATGAAAAAAAAAGTACATGTCGATGATCCAAAAATGACTAAATTCATCAAAAAAATAAACAAAATTAGGACAAGTAACATACATAAGTAATCAACGTAACAATTAACAAATAAATGAAAAAAAAATCTATATCCTGTTTATTATTGAATTGCAAAGGTAAATAGAAACGATTCAGCATCATACAACGTAGTTGGTCATGTCCAGCTTAACTCCAAGCAAGTCCCTGATCACATCATGTGTCATGCTCTCTGCAGATGCGAGTCTAGTATTCAGCATGAATATCTGCGACATAATATGCAGAAGATGCCATTTACATGTATTTTACACGCAAATACCTATCACTCCAAATACAATATCATGCTCTTAAAGTTTACATTATAAAAAGCAAAGAATCATATGGAGAGGCAAAAGAGGGAAGAACCTCTTTTTGTCGACTTGCAGCTAATGCTTCGAGTTCCTCTATCCGTTGCCTTCCGGCAGAGAGCTCTTCATCCTTTTCCGAGTTTATTTGATGGGACAATCCCAAGCCAATGCATTTGAAAGGTGAGCCCGAACCTCTCGATTTTGAAGCACTTCTCTCTGTCCTCGCGGACATTGCAGGCATGACCTGGCTGGTGCTTGTTTCAGGCTTGACTTGTTGTGCCATTGCTTCTAAGGCTTTGAACTGCACTTAACATTTAAGTGAAGGAAAATCCTTGCATTCACTAACTTTTCATATCCAAAATACTCCATTTGCCAAGTTCTCACTGAATTGAATTATTTTTTGTTTTTTGGTATTTGGGTAATATTTTCCATCTTTGATTATATAATTGTTTCCTGTTTTTAGCTTGAGTAATAACTTAATTTGATGAACGCTGTTTCCAAGTACCTTTTGCTTGTATTCATTTGCCTGTGCCTCCGCATGCAAGGTCAGCTCTGTTATATGAGCTTTGCATTTATCGATCTGTGGTAAGAACAATAACCACTAAGCTCCAATTCTTTAAACTCAAATTGCACGCAGTCATCAGGGAAAACTGTTTGAAAGTATATCTCTACATTGGGCCCAATTCAAAGGATACACGGGCAACTAAGCAACAAGGCACTATACAAGTTCTGAGAAGTTACAGTTATCAGGACAATGACTTGACAGTACATACAAGGATTAGGAAAGATTTGATTGTAGCTTATCACGGAAAAAACTATAACCTACAAGAAATGACAGGACAAGCTATTCATTTCCTAAGAAATATTTAAGTAAAAACTTAAAACAACATCATCACCAAAAGGAGCATTACTTCTAATCAATGTTGCTAAACTACCAAATTAAGACCAGTACCTTATGATGGGACGCAAAAAGCTGGAGTTATTGTTAATTAGTTACAGGAAAGGTTTACTAAGAAGATCACAACTATCAAGGATAACAAAGTCTACACAGTACCCATCACAGTACAAAGACAAGCACTCATCTAAAACTTGCAACAAGATGGCTTACCTCAGCTTCCTTCTCAAAAATGTCCTTCTCAAGAATGCTTATCTTCTTTTGGGCCTCTTGCAGCTTTATTTCTTTCTTCCCTAGATGGCTGTGGAAAAGCAAATAAAAGTATAAAACTCAGATCCTCAATTGCTGTAAGTAAGGAGTTGATTTCAAAGGCTCCAAAGGCCTTGATGGATATCAAACCTTGCCATGCCATTCTCAACCTCTCTTGAAATGCTCAAGATGTCCATATCCACACTCTGTACATTTAACATCTGATGCTTTACAGCCTGGAGCTCTAGCTCTAGCTCTTCTCTCTGCAACCGCTGCCTTTCCGCGTCACCTATGATGATTTCAACCTACGACCGCAAAATAATTAAAAATGAAAAAAGCTAACATAGTCTAGGATATTCAAATAGGAAGTTGAGTGCAGAACAGATAAGACAAGTTCAAAATCGAATTATGACTCTGCTCCTCTAGTCAACTTTCAAAGGACAAAAGAGTTTGCAAATCCTGAACAAAAAAGTGAAGATAAAAGATTTACCTTGTTCTCCAAAACATTTATAGTGCGTTCCAACTCTTCCACAGACCTCTCCAACAGCTTCACCTCTTCCTCCTTTTCCTCGGCGTAGGCCTTTTGAGCCTCGCCTATCTACCAATCCAATGAAATGAATCAGAATATTGAACCCAACAAAAATTTATTACTTTTTTCCAACCCAAAGAAAACAACATAAAATTTGAATAACAAGCACCTGGCGCTCTTCAGCAGCAATGGCTTCATTTTCTTCAGCCAAAGCCTGAGCCATTTCTAGCTGATCTTTCAAGGCAAGTACCTCAGCTTCAAGACTGTCTCTCTCACTACCAACTTTAGCCAAATCATTCTTGAAACCTTCAATAAGAAGCTTATCGTGGTCTAGAAAAGAATTTATTTCAACAATTTCCTCTTCCAATCCTTCAATCAACTTAACTTTTTCTTCCAACTCAGCTTCAATAGACTGTTTCTTTGTTAAGAATACTTTTATGTCATTATTCAAACTAAGATTTTCATCTGAAACTAGCTTTACAGACTCCTGAGTATTTGCAAGTTCCATTTCCAGTCCAGAGATAGAATCAACTTTTTCTGCCAATTGGATTTCAAACATTTGATTGCGGGCAACAGCAGCCTCAAGCTCATCCTCAGTCGATTCCAGTACTTGAAGCATTTCCTCTATTTCATTGTTTCTGTCTTTTGCATTGGATGCCAACTCTTGCAATAAGTGCATATCAAATAATAATCCTTGCACAATTTCATCCTTGCGAGCCAATTCAGCACTGAGAGAGAGATTCTCAGATACCAATTTTTTAGCAGACGCCTCCAAAGAATCTGATTCTTCTATGAAATTCTGAGCAGTTTCTTCACAATCACACAGATGTTGGAGCAATTTATCTGCCAATCTGAATTTCTTTCCTTCTCTCTCCTCCAAAAGAATGCAAGAAAGTGATTCACCCTCTAAATGCAAAAGTCTGTTGCAAAGAGCATCCACAGCTTCAAATGTATCAGAGCAGTGCTCTGTCAGCATACTCAAGGAACTAAACATATTATCTATTCCATGCAACTTTGAAAGTATTTCATAGTTTTGCCTTCTTTCTGCAGCCAAACTTTCACAAGTCTCATGCTTTGTGAGAAGCAAATTATCCATTTCTACTTCCCTCCCCTTCAAACTTTCTACAACCCTGGCATGCTCAATTCTGAAATTCTGACCCTCTATTGACATTCTCTCTCCAACTTCCTTAACTTCACCAAGTTCTTGTTTTAGTCTCTGATTTTCAATTTTCAAAGAGTTTATTATTCCAGACTGAGTTGCCATTGCTTGACTTTTTGTTGCAAACTCCTTCGCAATGGCAGAATTAGAGCAATTAAGTTCCATCAATTCTGTGATTTTCTTTTCTAGATCAGTTTGAAGACCAGAAATTAAAGACCGCAATGAGCATACTTCATCCCGTAACTTCTGGTTTTTCTGATCAAGGACTGACATTTGGATGGATGATGATTCAGTTTCATCATGCTGACTTTTCAAGTCTTCAAAGATTCTGGTATTTTCAGCCTTGAGAATACGGACTTCTGCTAATACCCTCCCTCTATCCTCCATAACTTCAGTGAGTTCCCTCTTAATTTTATCAAACTCTGTTCTTGCAGTACATATTTTATCATTCTGGATTACCAGTTCTCGATTTTTCTCTGCAAGCTCACCTTGAATCTTAACAATTTCAGCATTTTTCTTCTCTATATCAGTTTGTAGTTTCTGTTTTTCATCCTGCAACACAATTTTTACACTTTTGACTTCTTCTTCTACTTTAGAAATATGGTTGCAGGAATCTTGTACCTGAAGATATAAACAATCTTTCTCCTTTTGAACTTGATCCAGCTCAGTCAAAATATTAAAGCTTAGTGCATTCCCCTCCACCATCTCTGATGCTAAATATGTAACTTCAATGTCCCTTGCAACTAGTTCTGTCATCAAAATCTCAATATCTCTCTCAATTAGTTTCTTATAGCAAGCAATGTTTAACTTTCCACCCTGAATATCTTTGATGCCAAGGTTAAACTCAGAGAGAGAGTCATCTCCAAATAAATCCAGCTCTTTTCTCATAGATTTTTTAAACCAGTCATGCTGAACCTGTATTAGCTCCTGCAACCTCTTGGAGTCGTCCTCCAATTTATGGTGACCTTCATCTTTCTCTGTCATTAGTCTTTCTTGCTCCTCCAATTTACGATGAGCTTCCTCTTTCTCTCTCTTGAGTGTTTCTTGCTCTACCAAAGCATGCCGCTCATGCTCATCCAATTCTTTGATCAAAGCAGCAAGCTCAGAACCCATAGCATTTGACTTTGCCAGCATTGACTCTTCTTGTACTTGCAAATCAAGAATCTTCTGCTCAAAAGAGCTCAATTTGGCACTAATCTTCCCCGTCTCGTCCTCTTTTCGTATTATTCTATCAAAGCTGTTCTTGATGTCAATGAGGAGTTTTCCCCTAAGAATGCTACAGGTTTCAAGTTCACCTTTTGCCTTAAGATTAAGATCTCTTAAATTAGCAACCAAAGAATTAGATTCACAGAGTCCATGGTTAATAAAACCAATCTCAGCATTCAATCCAGTAACAGTTTGAAGTAAAATCCCCATGTGACACAGGTGTAACACAGATACAGCACAATCTTTGCCAATTATCTCAGACCATATGTCTTCAAGCCATGACTTTGACAAATTTGTAGAGTTTAAGAGCCCAAATCTGAGTTCAGAAATATCATTAGTTATTGCTTGGAATTTTCCCTTGGTCACCTCCTTCACTTGAACAAAGAGTTCCTCAACTGACAAGAACACGCTCCTGATTTCTTCCAGATTCAAAGAGCAATGTTCATGTAGAAATTCAAACTGCTGCTCTAAGGACTTCAAATCTTGAAGCTCATCAACCAATGTGGCCCTCTCTTCAAGGAATTCGCATTCCCTCTCCTTATACCCTTGCAATTCAAGCTTTGCAGTTTCCTTCACTTTCATCAATGCATTTACCATGAGATCTGCCTCTTTCATAGTTTCTTGAGCCTCTTGAAATTTTGAAAGCAAAACAGAGGCTTCATCTGCTTTTTGAGCTGCATTTACCTTAGCATCACTGAGTTCCATAGACAACACCTGTAGAAAAATAGGGACCCCCAAATTTTTGATAGAAGCTTAAGCAAGAGAACAAAACAAATCCATCCGAAATTGACCACACACACACACACACACACACACACATGCACACACACACACATAAACACACATACATACACACAAAGACACGCAGACAGAACTCAAAAAATTCACATATTTATAAATTTAGAAAAAAATCATGCATGAGTTTTATACCTCTTTGGACTTGTACCAATGAGCTTTGGACTCTTCAACCCTTTCTTGAACTCTGTAAAGCCTATGAGACATCTTCGAAACAGCAAGTTGTAACCATTCTTCTCTGCAGCTCACTTCAGCTTGTAATTTGAGAATCTCTGATGCAAAGGCTTTAATCTTCCCACTGCTTTCTTCCTCTGACTTCTTCAGCTCCTTATTCTCGTGGATAATCACACTCATCTGAGCCTGCACCTCCTTTAAGCTACCAAGTGCAGATTCAATTTCCTGTCTCAGAAGCTGTATGGCCATATCTTTAGGACAAGAATTGCTTCTTCGCTCCATATCCTTAACTTCTCTCATTTTTTTGATAAAAGTTGACGGATCCTCGACCTCTTTCATTCCACTACACAAATCTTTATTCAGAGTTAGATGGGCAGTAGTCTCAGTTACTGTGCCTGCAGATATGCCAAAATATATACCTGTTATTGTGTCTTTATCCACATACACAGCACGACCATTTAAATCTCTCTCCTCCTCGGTCCACAATGCTTTCTCTCCATTGTCATGAGCCAGTACTGCCTTTGTCTGCAAAAGCACCAAATGTTAGAATTAAATAAAACTAAAATTCAGTTTCCAAATATTCTAGTGTTAATTTTTGGTAATTACTCAACCAGAAACTTGTTGTTTAAAAGGTTATGGACTCAGCAGACTAGAGGTCTGAGCAAAAGAGAAAAAATCCATGGTGTTTAGGTAGGAAGGGTGAAACGCTAGCTTACCCATTCCTCGGATTTCACCAGCCCACAAGAAGCAGCAACAACATCCCCATTCAAATCCTTCAGCCTGGTTTGCCTCTTTACAGGATTCTCCACCTGTCCAAGAAACCCATTCATGCAAGAAGTGAGGTTGTCTACCCCCATCCTAAACTGACCCAATCTCTCGTTTGTCAATAAAATCTCATCAGACTGAAGTTTATCCAAAACTTTTGTAAGACACCCAGACATGTGGTCTTGATTGGCCCCAATGGTCAGACACATGATGGCCTCTGAACTAAATGCCCTTTCCCATGCATTCTCGACCTGCAGTTCCATATCTTTCAATTCAGATTTCAAAATATCAATGCCTGTTAGAAGTCTGTCCTTTTGAAGCTCCATGGCTTGGACATGACCCAGAGAAGAATCAAGTGAGTTCTTAAGGTCAAAACTGCTTTCTTCCAATAAGTTCATTTGGAGACGCATCTCAATAATCTTGTTTCTTAATTCATTAATCTCAGTGCTTTGGTCACAAATAATCTTATCCTTCTTTGTTCTCAAATGCTCAAGCTGAACCAAATTTGTTTCTGATAGCCTGTTCACTGTGAGAAATGATACAGCAGCACAGACCTCTGCCTTCTTAATCTGGGCTTTCCCCCCTTCAATTTGATCTTGAAGCTCACTAACAAGTGAGATCTTCTCACTTAACTGTGACTGCAATTGAAAAATCTCTCTCTCCTTCTCAGTAGTCTCTAGCTGTTGAGCGTCTGCCATGGCCATTGCTGCTCCCCTTAAGGACCTCAATTTCCAGTCCAAATCATGTGCTGTTGTGTGGGCATCCCCAAGTTGTTTATGGAGGTCCTCAATGCACTCGTCTTTTTCCACAATAGTTCTAACCAATCTTTCGAATTCTTGACCGATTCGGGAATTTCCTTTAGGGAAGGAATCAGAGATACAGTTTGCCTGGTTGGAAGCATCATCAAGTGCACCATAACCATCAGCAAGAAACTCCGAAAGTTCAAAAGTTGACCTCTCCCATGCATTGTTCAGTGCTTTTATGTCATCTTCTTTCCCAGCAACCAATTCCAGAAGCCTTGAATTCTCTTGGATCACCATTTCTAGCCTTCCCTGCAAAATTTTGAACTCTTTTTCCAATGCTACCAAGTTTCGGTTTGCTTCTACTTCCTTTTCGTTGCTGGTATCAACTTGCAGCTGAAGAGTTGCAAGCTCTTCCTGTAAACATATGATTGCTTCAGCAGTTTCTGCCTCAACTTGCTGGCGTATACGGTCCATCTCTTGTTCATGAGTTGTGTGAGAAACCTGATCGTTTTGGTATCTCATGTTCAGCTTTCTAGACTTTTCCAGGGCAAGCTGCATTTGTTTGAGTTTTTCAAGCAATGGGGAATCTTTATTGCTCACATGCTTCCAAGCTTCGAGCTTCTGCAAAGGCACATCTTCTTTAGTTCCCAAACTAGGACCAATCTGCTTCTTCAAGAGGGATATTTCATCTTCTTGCCTTTGTAGAAGCTCAGAATATTTCATGTTGGCTTCTCTCAAATCTTCCAACTCATTGATTGATAAAATGTCTTGAGATTCCAGAGCCTCAGCCAGGGATTTTGCATCCTTCAGCTCGTTACTGAGATGTGAAGCCCTCTCCTCTACACATGCACGCGATAATCTCTCTTCTTCTAGGATACCCTTTACCCAGTTAAGCTCCAATTGCAGATTAAGTAATTCTTCTGAATATTTCCTTGAAACTTTATTCTCCAATTGCCCATCATTTTCACCAAGCATGTGCTTCTCTGCTTCCTGGGATAACAGAGGTTGTAATCCCTGTAAAGGATCCTGAAAGAAACATGTATTAAGCCAGTGGCAAGGGTGAGACATAGCAAATAGACAAGAACCAGAACATCAAAGCTAATGGTCTACGAATGGTCTTAAAAAAGTGGTACACATAAATACTCTGAGAGAAAGAGAGACAGCAATTTTAGAAAATTAATAAGAAGCAGCTTACAGGGAGACAAAAAAGGAATTTTATCAGATTTGACAAGGTGAGATTCATTTTTTATCATTTCGAGACATATTAAGGATATCATTCTTACTTTACTAAAATAAAATTAGCTTTCATTTGTTATAACTGTAGCATTACAGTTGTTTCATAAAATAAGTGCAAATAAAGAGGTTGAGTGAGTATTCTCACATTTCTTGATATGGCTTTAGATGAACTCTGTTTCTTTGATTAATTAAATATTTCAATAATTGTACAAAATCTCTAATACGTGGAAATAAAGTTCACCTGGATTTGTTCAATTGTTATGACAGTTTTAATGCTATCGACATCTGCTGCCTCACCACCAGATGTAGCAAATAAACTTTGTCCCTGCAATGAATATATAATTAACATGCAAAATTATGCAAGCTCTCTTTTTTTCAAAACCGTTAAATTTGATTTAAGAATTTGGGAACCATACCTGCAAAGTTTTGATCTCTGATTCATAGTTACTGCAAGTACATTTTAGTTCTTGTAGTTGAAGTTGCATATTTCTCATTTCCCTGTAAAACACAAGCAGCATATGTTAATTTCATAATGACTTTTAAGCAAGAATAGAAAAAGAACATAAAGGCAAAAAAAAGGAACCTTACGTAGTCAGTTTCTCATTGACTTCCAGGCAAGAGCTCAAACGGTTTTTACAATCTTCTAACTCCTTTAAAGTGCTATTGACCTGAAAAGGCATACAATTTGATCGAACAGTATACCAATTAGAAGACAAAAGAAAGATAATTGAGCAAAGTCAAAGATGATTTGAATATGGAAGACTAGCATGAAAACTTGGAGATCACCTCTAAATGGAGTAACTCATTTTCTTGGGCTGTGTGGGCCAATTCAGACTGTACTGCCCCCTATACATTAGAGAGTGAGTTAATGAATGACTGATATATGTGTGCGTGTGCATGTGCACGTCTGTCTGTGTGTCTACAT